CGGGTTTAGGGTTTAGGGTTTAGGGTTTAGGGTTTGGGGTTTGGGGTTTAGGGTTTAGGGTTTTTTTTGGGTTTTGGGTTTAGGGTTTAGGGCTTTTAGGGTTTGGGGTTTAGGGTTTTTAGGTTTTGGGGATGTATTTTTTGGGTTCAGGGTCTAGGGTTTGGGGTTTTTGGGCTTTGGGGATTTGTTTTTTGGGTTTAGGGTTTGGCTTTTAGGGCTTTTAGGTTTTGGGGATTAGTTTTTTGGGTTTAGCGTTTGGGGTTTAGGGTTTTTAGGCTTTGGGGATTTGGTTTTAGCGTTTGGGATTTTTTAGGTTTTGGGGGTTTGGTTTTGGTTTAGGGTTTAGGGTTTAGGGTTTTAGGCTTTGGGTATTTGTTTTTGGGTAAAATCCAAAGGCTCCAAATAGACTACCATTGAGGAATTAGGCACCAAAAGACCATCCTTATTATGGTTCGAAGGGCCTACTTCCATGATAGTAGTATATATAGAGCCTCTAAAGAAAGGTGCGACCTTGTTGGCCTTTTTTGTTTTTAGTGGTTTGCAAGGTTACAACCTTTGGTGCTTAGAGGTGTACCAGTTTGGACACAGCCCCTGGGCTGGCCTTGAAGTCCAGCCAAGGCCCTTACAGAACGGTTTAGGGTTTACTTCATTCTCCAATACCCAACCTTCAAACTTTTTGGGCTCTTAGAGTTTATTAGCAACCTGACAGTTTGACCTTTTATTTCCCTGGCTTATTGGGGAAGTGGACCCTAAACCCTAAACCCTCAAGCCTTAAATCCTAAACCCTAAGCCCTAAACCCTGGCTTATTGGGGAAGCAAGTTTAGGGCTTAGGGGAAAGAGTTTGAATTCCCATAAATGCTTTGCACCTCCCCAGGCTGAAGTACACAGCCTTCGGCCCTTCTTTTGCCATCCACTGGGTGCAGGAGCACAAGGCCTTTTGCGGCGGTTTAGGGTTTAGAGTTTTAGGGTGTAGGAGTTTGGGGTTTGGGATTTAGGGTTTGGAGTGTTTGAGTTTAGTGCTATGTGTTTACAATTTTCGGTACTGAAAGGGTTTAGGGTTGCTTAGAAAAGCCTAGTACTGAGAAACGAAAAGGCCAATCCACTAGAGCACGAAAAAGCCCTAACCTGAACACCGCAGCCACAAAGCCTCGGTTTAGCCTTCTCAAGCCCTTGCTCAGCCCTTATTAAATCAGTGTTAAACCCTGAACCCCTGAAACCCTAGGCCCTAAACCCTAAACCCCTACCCTGAACCCCTGAAACCCTACACCCTAAACCCCACATCCTAACTTCTGAGCGACTACGTAATGTAGACCGAAAGCCTGCGCAATATGGGCTTTGGAGCGCAAGCAACACAAAAGGCCCTTAACAAAACGAAACACATCCTACCGCGGAAAACGAGCGCAGGTGGGCTCGCTCATGCAGCGAAGGGCCACAGTGCAGACAGAACTCAACTCACAAGCGGATCCTCGAAAGATCCAGGAGCTGCTTTAAGGGATCCTTTAAGGGATCCTTTCAGGTTTAAGGGTTCAGGGTTTAAGGTTTTAGGGTTTTAGGGTTTTAGGGCTTAGGGTTACGGTTTTAGGGTTCAGAGTTTAGGGCTTTATGGTTTTATGGTTTTAGGGCTTTAGGGTTTAGGGTTTAGGGTTTCTAGGCAACATGGGGCGTTGTGATGTTTGTAGGGTTTAGGGTTTAGGGCTTCTAGGCACCATGGGGTTTGTGATGTTTGTAGGTTTTAGGGTTGAGGGTTTAAGGGTTTAGGGAATAGGGGCATTGACACTGAGGGCTGTGATGTTGGTAGGTTGTAGGATTTAGGCTTGAGCAACATAGCTTGCTTTTTGTGAGGGCTCTGTATCTAGGACATGTTCAGGTGGGTAGTTAACGTTATAGGAGCCTTATAGAAGGTCTGTATACCTTATAGAAGTCCTATAGAAGCCCTACATACCCTACACTCCCCACCTGTAGTTTCCTTTAGCTGTAGCAGGATGAAGCTTGTCATGTACGGGCCTGCGTGGGTCCTAGTTTTGAATGCGGGGGCGACGAAGGCGTACGACGCTTCGCCTCAGTTCGTGGAACGTCGAGAACAGCAAGAACCGCGACTACCCAGCTTCCCTGGACGATGTCGCGAACTTCGGGATGATTCACGTGTGCGGGGCCAAAGCCAAGTACTTTCGGATTCTCTACGCAGACAATGGGGCTGAAGGCTTCAAAGACAGCTACTACATCATGGGAGCATGTGTGGAGTTTCTCTGCAACACTGCAACGCACAACGAAAAATGCTACGCTGGCACTAAACGTCATCAACAACACCACATACAAAATTACATGTACTATTTATTGGGGGTTCCTTTTTATAATTGTCGTGTAGTGGCCCCAAAACCCTGTTCTAATTGTTAAGGCCCCTATAGAAGGTTGTTTAACCAGGGTTGGGGGTTTGGAGCTGTCACCGGGCCGCAAGGCCTAGGCTACGTGTTGGGTTTACGTTGGTCTTGCTCCATGTGCCATCGTCTTCCCATTCTCGGCTCTGCTTGCCTCCCGTCCCTGCTTGCCCCTGAAACCTGAAGCGTAATGTAGGGGCCTAGCTAATTGTCCATACTATTTTTTGAGTAGGGGGGGTGCCTTAATAAATACAAAGTATAGTATACCCAAAGCCCTAGTCTAATTTTTCAGGCCTCTACATTCAAGCCTTCCATATAGCCTTTTCTTCCTGCCCGCCTTTAGCGAGTTGCTGCAGTAGTGCTCCTCCTACAAACACAATCGGAGAGAAGCAAATATCGATTCTTCACTTGCTTCCATGGGATCAGCATATTCAAGATAGGTCTGGGGTTTTATGTTGTTTCTTTAGTTTCAGTTTAGTCTATGTTGTTTTTGCGGTGCTCTGCTTGTTCCTTGTTCAATGGGGGTCTGCAAACATGCTACTGCTGTGTTTGCCTGCTAAGCAGAGCAGAGTGTAGTTGGGTGTGCGACATCCCACAGGGTTTAGGGTTTAGGGTTTAGGGTTTAGTAAACCCTGAGCCCTAAACGCTAAACCCTAAAGCATCAACGGTGGGTGCTTCAATGGGCTGAGGGTAGTGATATAGGGGTCTGAAGCCTTTGTAGTCCAATATAGTCATGCTAGCATGTACCCCAAAACCCTA